ACGGCATCTGTGCTCTTATGGAAATCAGCTCCTAATGTTGTCTGCTCTACGTCTGGGCTGATCAGGAACGCGTGCTGCACGGACTTGTCGCCTAGGCGTATCGAGTGCGTTGACAGTCCGTCAATCTTCAATCGATATCCGCCAACAGCTCTCACGGCTAGCGCGCACGGTCTGTGTTCAGCTTGGTTCCCTCTTTGCCTCAGCGATACGCCTGCTCCGGTATCAATCAAACATAACTTCTTCTTCCCGTCTACTCGACAATGGCTTGTGCGATAGCTTGTGTCAGTGCGCTAATCGCGACCCACCCAGGAAAAGAGGAGTACTCTAAAGTTTTATTGTGTACAAGCGATCGGTTACGGGGACACTAATTCTTCCAGTGGCCAGGCTTGCCACACATGTAGCACCGGCTGGTTCGAGCGTGTCTCCGCGATTCCGTCTTCACGGCTGCCAGCTGTTCGGTGAGTTGGTCCACCCTGGTCTGCAGTTCCTCCACTGATGCAGCATCCCTGTTCTCCTGCGACTGCAACGTGGCCAGTGGTTTCTTGAGAAGCTCCCGGGCCAGATGCACCAGCTCCCCCCACACTCAACTGGCCAGTTGCTCGTGCCAACCGCAACTGGGTACCGAGCGCGGGCTGCACACCTTCGACGAACTGATCCGACAGAAACTGGTGTCGCGACACTCCTTCCAGCGTCGGCAAAGCGCGATCCAACAATTGCTGCAGGCCGGCGAAGAACACGGTCGGATCCGATCCGGGTACCATCCTGGCCGTCTTGAACCACCTCCTAGCCTCCTGGCGGTCGGCCGGCGTGTCGAACTCCGCTTTACGGACTTCCTTCGCGACGGTCCAGTCCATCTTCCGAGGGCCTCTTCTGGCCGCATCCAGGGCCGCCTTCGCGCGGCCCTTGAGGAGGGTCTCCAGCGCTGCCAACTTACCCCGGCAGCCTCCGCCACCTCCTCAAAGTCCTCCAGGAAGGTCCGAACATCCCCACCCTCAAAGGGTTGCGGCCACGGGATCTCCATCCTTATCCTGGTCACGGCACCAAATGAAAGGAAGAAGCCCTTTGCTGCGGTGTTATTTACCCAGAAATGCCAATTAACCGGTTACAGACCGTTGGACAGGCAGCAAAACTCTAATCTGCATCTTAGTTACAAAAACTGGACGCAGATCTTCTTCCAAACGAGTCTTCCTGGCGATTCATTGCCTCCAATCATTCATCGGTCAAATAGAAGCAAATGTTACAAAGTGGCCCCACGAATTCCACAACAGAATTCTGTTTTTCAATCAACGCAAAGCGAAATTCTACGAACAACACATACTACTCGCGTGCCTCCCGATCAGTAGTATCACCGTTACACTGGTAGCTCGGGTGAGTTTATTGGGTGTTGTGACTGGCAACAACTTGAGGCAAGTGTCAGCTATTCCACATACTACTTAGTGGACTTCCGCATACCCATGTGAATAGCCTCAAATGACTGAAGGAATTAGGAGTATTCCATTTACTCATATGTATTGCCACTGTACGTACTTGCAGCGTCAGCGTAGTCCTAGAATCACCAGCGCCAGCCTCAGAGCAATTGACTGGTCAGAAAAGAAATACACATCTATGACAAACACGCCATAATGGAGCAAACATCCTGGGAACGTGAGTTGCACCATATTTCATTAGGAATACTCATTCCAAAACTTTTTCGCTAATGTGCAGAACCCGACGTAGAATTGACCTCCATATTCCACTTTATATAAATCAGTAGACTGCGTCAGCAAATCTTGTTTTGTCCAGCTTGAAGTGAAAAAAGTAGAGAAATCTATGCGTTTAATTCGTGAACCCGATTATTACCCAAGTGATCCTCTCACACCCACCAAACCCATGGCGAATCGTACTTTTTAGAGTGTCAGCTTAAAATATTGATTAATTTCAGGTACCCCGAAAATTCCCCCTCTTCTGCTTCACATGTACCAGGATTTATGATTGTGTTAATTTGCCGAAGATGCAAGGTTGACAAGCTCAGGCATTATAAACCAGCCACTTGTCATGCAAATGAGCTACATTACTTCCCCAGGTTAGTATTGAAATTGTTTGATGAGTTCTTTAGGAGTTCTGAGAGCTCAGAACAGGTGTTTAGAGTAGCCGTCTTTGTTATATAAGTGTAACTTGGCTTCCTATTAGAGAAAGACTCCAAATTTGCGGTCGTTTGGAGCCTAAACTTCCCATTTTGCAGTCGTATAGTTAGTCTATTAAATCGGTTTTGCATTGTCATGTACAGTTTCATAATATCTACGAACCCCCCCCCCCACAATGTCTATTGAAGAGCCTGTATCAACGGGCAGACCATCTCTGATCTGATGTTCAGCTATCGTGAGAAGGCACCTTAAAATGTGTTCCAAAACTTCGGCGTCCAGTTTTTTTACACCAAATGAAAAGCTAATGACACTGGAGTCTACCCTACGGTGACCAACCATGTGACAAGTTATTAAATCCAACACGTAATCCGTGAGTAAGCATGAGATCATCTACTGACGTGAAATGAACTTTTCTGGTTTGGAATGGGCTTCTATTTTTCCTTACAGTTTTGCTCTGTTTTGACAGACTTACCGGCTCAGGCCAAAAACTAGGCTTCTCTTTTACCATCAAGTGACCCTTAGCGGGGGTTTTAATTACTATGTCACCCGGATTTACCCAACCCATGTTTAATTCTGCGGATTCTACAAACATAAGAGTAACTTACATCAATATCGTTGTAGACACAACAGTCTTTCGTATTCCACGAATTTCCACAAGTGCTCCACGGCACATACCATTGGAACGACATCCCAAAATAGTAGATTGTCCAGGTCATTATCACACTATAGTAAATAGAAATAACAGAGCACGAGGCCATCATGCAGAACCCGATACCTGAAATCAGAAACAATATGAATTATTCGTGTAACAAGGACTGTAATACAACTTGTGAACTGGAAATACGGTGATGATGAAGTTTCAAATGTGTACACACTTTTGCATGGGAGTGTTTACTGGTTCATCATCATAATCTGAGTAGATTAATCACTTGAGTAATCTGCTGTATCATTAAGACGAACGCAGCTAGCCTTTTGAGAGAAGCAGTCCAACTTATGCTCTAAACTATATGGTTTTCTAACGGCCAATGAAGATTTTACATAGGTTGCTAAACCTTACATGGATAGACCTCCAATTCAATCAATTTATATCGAGAGATACTTGGTGCCTTTTGCATTGCTGCAGAGAAACCCTGTTCTCAGGTTCGTGAAATGGAATACGAATCACCTATGGTTTCTTCTCGCTTCCAGCAGCTTCAGTCACTAAGCAAGCTATTTCTCCCTGCATCTTTCGGGATACCGCATCCAAAGATTTCATATTTATGGATGGTTGTAATCAAATTCTTGGCATTTTTCATCACAGCCGTGAATTTTGAAGGAAAACAACCCCTTGGGTGTGAATACAGGTAGTGGTTTTCCCTTGGAATTGGTCTCAGTTTGCTCAGTAACCTAGTCTGCAGTTGCTAGATCAGCAAAGTCTTTATGAGGCTTGTCCAAATGCAAACTGAAATAAAACTTGCCGTATAAAAATTATGGAATGCTTTTGGATGATAATAACGCTCGGGATGAGAGTTAGTTGTATGTAACGGTAGTCACAAGTTTTTACGGTACAGAGAAGCGATAAACTATAATCCACAAGTACTCCCATTGGATAAGAGGTGTAGTGTACCAGATATCAGGCGGTATATTGACTTTAATTCAAAAAAAATAATGCTGGCGGCCTTTCACCATTTTCTTAAAACTTGCAGGGTACTTACCTACACAAAATAAAAAGTAGTCCAAGAAAACTGGACTTTCGGATAATGCAAAGCAAACTAGATACAAATTTACAGAGGTAATTTTGTGGGTATTTAAAATCACGCTACCATATACCAAACATGTAAATGCTGTTTGTATCCCACATAACGTCATTTATTTCAACATTTTTCGTTGAATAATCAAAAAGCCAGGAGATCTCCTGTCTTGTCATGTCATGTACGACAGCTGCACTCACCTTGAAAAATGGGAACCATAGTAAACACCCGGGTGGCACTAAGGCCAGAAGTTTGTCCAATCACCGATTCCAAAAAGAACAACGGCATTCCAATAAGAAGGAGACATACAAAGTAGGCGATCAGAAAGGCACCTTTGAAGTAAAAAAACGACAAAAGGATTAGAAGTGACGTCCGGTGATTGTACTGCAAAATAATCAACTACAAAGTGCTTCCCCAGCACACTCATGTTTTCAAGTTGGCTACTGACAAAAGATGTTTGCAAAAACTAGCCCAATTTGCACTGGGAATAAAACGTCCAACTTGAAAAATGGCCACTCACAGCATTCTGGGAGCAAACGCAAAAAAGCAAACTTTAGATTAAACAAACTACCTCCGGTTCTTCCAAAGGGCATTTCACTAACAGCACTCGATTCACGTTTCCAACTTGCCCAATCGCTTATCCACAGCCACCTTTCTCATTCGTATGCTATTGTCGTGTACATCCTTAACCGTATCAATCACGGTAGACGTACGGATATCGTGCACAACCGCATACATTGTAACTCCAAGTCTCAAATCGTCGTGACCCAAAAGCTTTGTTTGCTCACTTTGATTCCACGAGTGGCTTAGTAAACTCCTTTTTCCAGTTGGGTAGTTATTTTCAGATCTTCTATGATGGATAGCTCCATCAAAGACCGATTTTGTCCGCACCGCCCAATCGGGGGCATGCGTATTTACGGCACCGAAAGGATCCATAACAGGTAAGTTTTTGAAAAGTCAGTATTGTGGAACAGAGAACATGTTAATCCACAACCAGCCGCGTAATTTAAGCTATGATCAGCGTGAGCATTCAATTATTCCTGATAGAATTTTGAAGAATGGAATTCCACGCTGATTGTTGCATGAGGCTTGTGATCTATCTAGCCTCATAAATCCTTGAGAATGATTTGTAGCTCTCATTTCCGTCCTTGAAGTATGCTCTTGGATACAGCCGAATGACGGATATTCTGACGGTTTTCTTGGTCAGAATACACTGAGGTGCTTATAATGACACTGTCAGCTTGCCGAAAGCGATTTGAGCTTTTGTTTAAGATAATCTCAACTTCTGGATTTCGGCCAAACCCAAAGATTACTTCACCAATAGTTCCTACGTAGCTTGGTGCAAAAAGCTGGCTCCCCGTTCGATAGAAGTTAGTTATCAGACCGCATTTTCTGTGCGCATAGTTTTTGTACCTTAAAATCCCTGTTTTTTATGAATTTACTAAAAACAAACACCTATAATAACTTCTGCGCTTCACTAAAATTACTAGTCATGACAAGGTTAAGTGCACTGATACGCGGATCTACTCAGAAAAAGTCTAAAGTGCACCGAAAATTCTGGCATTTGCTCGTACAACCTATCAGACAGCAGCGACCTACTAACAAATGGGCAAAAACAAAAAAACAACAAATCCCCAGGTGCCCCATCTTTCCGTGCTCGGAAGACGGTAATCATGGTTAGAATAAGTGTGGAATCTGAATATTGCGTTTCATGTTTGTACCTTGCATCTTGGTTTCTAAACCCCAACTAATCTCTCACTGAGCCAATCTGAACTTCTTGGTTGATGCACGTACACCGAAATTCGCCAAAGTGAATCGTAAAGTTTCCATCCACCGTGAACTGACCGCGAATGTGCTCCGTCTCAATAGCACAAGCACCGCTAGGCACTGAATGCAGAGATGTGACCATGGGTTGATACCAACAATTACAGTCCAAACGACCTGATGTCAGCAACCCCGATGAGCGCAAAGCTGGGCTTGTAAGCATTTGTAAGTTTTGCTTTCTGCGTGCAGTTTATTTTGGCAATGGAGTATTCAGTCCAAAGAAGGGTATCTTCGTCGTTTGTGACCTTTGATCTATATGGGTGCTGAAAACCTTATAGAAGCCGTAAAAGTAATCAAGAGAGGGGTCAGACTTGTTTACAGTGGTCCAAAAGGGTGCTGATCGTATTTAAAGAGGGCCAGTTAGGACAAAGTACCCTCATCTGCAACTTAAGCTGGTTTTAACGGCAGAGTCAACTGACTCCTAGCTGCATCCATCTCCTATGATACTGCTCAGTTAAGTGTGCCGTATGAAGACCAGTTTATGTTCTATTGGCATAATATTCTAGATACCAGTGTATATTTTCCCGACATAACATACTGGTAATAAGGTCAGTGAAAACTTTTGAAGGCTGCCAAAGATTCACTGGGAAGCACTGAGATGGGTGGCTCAAAGCTCTGATCCCTACTGGTAACCCATGAGCAAACCAATAAGCAGGGCTGCAATAATACGAAAGTCTGTGAAGCATGAACTGAGCTTGTAGTTGCCATAAAGCGCGAAACGAAAAGCATACAAGCACTTAGTACAGACCTGAAAACATTTGTGAACCGATGTTGAGAACCTCTTGTGGCAATTTTTCTACTGTCTCTTTACTCAAGTATAACATAAAGTGATCCCATAATTTTGTTAAGCTCCTTTCAATGTTTTCACACCTTTTGGTTATTTTGACTTAATATGGCCGATCAGCTGTTGACTAAAACTTTTTCCACTAGGATTTCGATTGAAACACGCATACTCTTGGGTAAATATGGTGCACATAAAAAATGAAACGTGTCAAGCTGTGGAAGGGAACTCAGTCAGTACAAATTTCCATTATATGCTGTCTTAGCAGCCGCATCCTAGAATGCCAAAGTAACTTATCCACTCGATATTTATGAATCGTAACATTGATTGAGTTGTATAATATCCATAGTCATCAGATGATAGCTGAAGAACAGGCTTATTTGTAGTGCTACCAGTTATTATGTGTATGCATCCAAATAATCATACTGCTAACCTATGTCGGTTGTAAAATGAGTTGTCTATTGGATGCCTTCGACGTTTGATCCCAGAAACTGAACAACCAGCTCAACCGCTCGTCTGCTGCACCTTATATCAATGAAGACACAGGAACTAACAAGTAGAACATCCGACTCGTGTTGACATGAAGAGGTTTGTTAAGTTTCAGTAGAGATTTCGCCATGTCTATGAAGCCATTCATTGCTGAAAAGCTGAGAAGCACTGCATAGCTCCATCATCCTTGTTGGGCATTGTCAGCACTGTGCATCTCTCCTAAAGATGAAACTGGTCTTGGGCTCTCAATGAGTTTTCGGCAACCTTATAAACAACTTGTTCCTTTTAAACTAAAACCTTCCCGTCAAAAGTTTACTCAGTAGTTGGAATAGGCATTCTCACTCCCAGCGTAAGCCACAAAATGGTGCCTAACATCACAAGAGACAGGTTAGTGGCAAGTGCCCTTAACTGTTGAGTTTTTTAATTACACTTCACTTTGTTGAGTCTTTCGAAAACCCGTAGTCGGATATAGACATGATACACCACTCATAAGGTTGCTGAAAATACTTCGACAGCTCACAACCGGTTCCGCCCTTCTTGTAGCTGATCAGGTAGACGCGATTCCCCGAGTTTCCGTCAACCCTAGGTTTTACTTGAACACAAATTGCACGAAATCCACGGAATATATACTCATTTGCAAACAACTTTGCCCTTGCGATAGACTCACCTTGAACCCAGCTGAATCTCTCGTTTAAAATGTATTACGTCTGAACATTTATCGCGATATCTCGAATTTCGTACCAACTAAAACATGAGGCGGTCTGGTGCAGCATATTCACTTGCTTAGAAACATCATAAACGAGAGAATAAGCTGGGTTCCAGGTGAGTCTGTCACAAAGCTAAATCTGTTTGCAAATGTTAAGTCGGGTATATTTTAAAATTTAGTAGGGCATTTGAAGCTAAGGTCCTTGACGTGCGCAGTCAACTATTAACATTGGACAGCCTACTCCGTATACTCATTGTACAACGTGTGTGGCTTACCTCCACTGCTGGACAACAGCACATATGGAAAACGCCATATAGTTCCAAGGTTGGCGGAAAATCCCAAGCTGAACTGTACAAACTCTAGATAACTTCTCCAGAGACTTTGAGGATCCTTGCTGCCAGACCGATCGTGCAATTCGAAATGTCCGCTATCTCCAGAGGTACTATTTGGGGTATCAACACCCTCAACACGGTATGTTTCTTCTTTGCCTGCCTCGCTTAGTGGACTTAATGGGGTTTCTGACATTGATAACGTCCACACATCATCTATTGATTGTCAGGACAGTTGTGGTACATATTACTGATAAGTCGCACAGTTTATTTACACTGAAGCCTCGTTGATTGGTGTGCCGTCAAACTCCCGATGCCGTTATTCCAGTGCTCATAAGTCCGCAGGCCATAGTTATTGGCAGATTACGGATTGACTAGAAAGAGCAACATTAAAACGATGAAGATGGAATTTACAATGGATATGACTGGATCAGCCAGTAGTCAAACAGTGCACACTGAACATTCAAACCATTAGTACACTATTGTAGGATCAAGATGGTGAAGTGTCCCACATGACGATTAGAACTATCGGACTATACACAGTTCGCATTCAGTAGGAATAGTAAGAACACACAGAATAGAGTAACAGATGCTGCATTGACAGCTAGTTCTATGGGTAAATAGGTTGGTAAACATTTTGAATAGAGTAGGACGTAAATTCGTCAAAGGCTCAATCGGTAGGAGTGGAAGAAGGGACATTAAGGCAGCAGGGTTTTCTGGAAGTAATAATAAGTATGAAGTGATACCCCAAATTACAAAGATGGGCGATCAGGCAGTGTAAATAGGTCGTATGCAGAGGTAACTGAGCAGAAGACTATCAGAACTTAGGGAGCTAAAGGGACCTGTCTGAAAAACGGGTATTTGGTGAGTTTTACACACGTGTAGCCGCAGTCTTTAGCTGACTGCGTAATGAAGTATGGCATGCCATGTGTCAAAACAAAATGCGCGCTTGAGCCCGTTTAAAACAAAATACAAATGAGCACCATCAGGTAAGATGCAATACAAAGGTAATACAAAAATAGAGTTTCCGAAGTAATTAATTTAGGGCAACGGATAACTCGCCCGTCTTCTAAGTTTGGTCAAAGAGCGACCTGCTTTTACGTCAAAGCAGATACTCGAAAATGGGTAAGGTTGACAGAAATCGCAAGCAAACACAGATAGGTGAATAAATAATAATACCACTAACAAGAGAGTTAGTATACCTCAGGCGGTAACAAAAACGCAGGGAACTGGCGACAGAGAAGCAAAACAGCATTATAATGGACAGCCGTAATTCACGCTAAGCATGAGCAGTCAAAAAATAGGACAAAGAACAACTTATTGCCTTCGATTCGCATGTGGGGTCAACAACTAGGGTGCATAGCAGGAAAAATTAGAACTGATAGCCCGCAGACTTAGTAAGACTGAAAGGCTTGGTCAGCATTTCCAAAAAGATACTAAAATTGTCTTTGAAAGCCTCCTAGAAGAGATCGCTCAAAAGGGTAACTTTTCCCGTTGTCTGTTGATCAGATGGCAGTTGGTCTGTTCGCCGAGCTCAGTGAGTGGCAAACCGATTAACCACCACCTGATCTACAGCCAATAAGCTCATCATCATCATCAGCTGCAAACTCCGCGTACTTACCCTCTAGTGGTTATAGCTGCCGCTGTTCTGTTCACCGATGATTTGGGGAGGTAGGGTAGATATCTGCGCATTGAAAGAGGTAGCTGATATAACTGACGCGTAGGTACAAGGTTTTCAGTGGACTTTTAGGTGAGGAGACTGAGAGAAGTGCTATGTATTGAAGACAATAGCTTGGATGCACGTGCAGCATTGAGGGCGATACTGGGCCATGTCTGATAATGTCTCTAACCACTGATATGTTTGATCTCGGGGTCCACACCCGAGAAGACGGCAACGACCAGTGCAGTTGAGTTTGCTGGTAGTGGCTTTCACACTTCGCTGCCAAGTCATTATTTGACCTCTTGCTCGTTTCCACACTTTACGTGATTGTGTGAAAAGATCTCCTCTAAGTATTCGGTCGAGTGGCATACGGAGCACCCTGTCAAGCCAGCCGAACCTGTTAAAAGTGACCAGTTCACCTAACCTGGGCGAGATTTTCTTCTAAAATCCATTCGACGCGATTCAGCATTACTGATCCGGTGTTCACACCAGACTCCGGCAATGTCCCAAAGATACCGGTGGTCAGACGCTGAGGTTCCTTCGACATTCTTGCCGCGCAGCGGCCAGATTTATGACCCGTATAATAATATGGAGCTCAACACAATATTGTTAAATCGATCCTTGACGGATAAACTGGTTATGCCTACGCAACAGTTGATTTAGGTCCACGAAACCTGCTCTTGTCTTTCTAATCCGGATAAAAATATCATTATTCGGGAGACAACTGGGACTGATGCGACTGCCCAGGTAGACAAATTTGTCTACTACCTCAGTCGGCTCGGGTTAGAGTCCATCCAGTTTTGCCCCACCACTTTACATTTTGCAAATGTGAAGCGCATACCAAACCGTGAAGCAAAATTATTTACATTATTTAATACTGTTTGCATAACGATGGCATCAGATCCAGAATGAGCTATGTGGACTACGTACTCCATATCTTGGAACGAATGCCTCAGGAGCACTTCGACCCACAAAAAAACGTAGGCCGCTGGCGAGTCTTCTATAGTGGTATAAACGAAGAGTTTGAAGAGGAATGGTGAGAGTAAACAGCCTTGACTGACACCAGTTGCTGTCGAGAACTCAGAGGACAGCTTCCCGCAGAACACACGGCCACGAGAGTTGCCGTACAGAACCTTTAAGAGGGTCAAGAATTTATGAGGGACAACTGCGCTCAAGGGATACCTGACGGTTCACAGAATCAAAGGCAGCTTTGAAGTCGAGGAAGACCACATTTTTGCCTGCAGAAAACAGTGTCACTGTTTTAAAATCTGTCGGAGGGTGAAAACGTGGTCGATACACCCTCTTCCAGGATGGAACCCAGCATGGATTTCATGAATCAGTTTCTTCCTGTGTTCAAGCACAGGGAGCACTTTTGATACAACAGCTACCAAAATGATGCCACGATGGTTTTGACACAGTCTTCGCATGCCCTTTTTGAGGAGTGATGTTGAGCAAGCTCAGGTCGATAACGCTGAGCTATGGTAGTTCTTCAAAGATGGTGGATTGGTACGCCTCTTGCTGCTTTGCGACGGCCTGAAGAGAAACAAACCGTAAAACGTACACCCACCATGGTGTGATCGGTATAAAGTTGTGTTTCAGAAGGAACGGCAATACTGAGATGTGGCTTTCCACCGGTGGCTGATGGCCATCGAGTCAACGGTTGATTTGCAATTGGTGTCTGTCAGGTTGCGTGATGCGAACGTTTAAGCTGAAAGTTCGTCCTGGCTAGAAGCGGTTCATGATCAGCGCACAACTTGAGAAGTCGCTCTCCGTTGTCTTTGCAGTGAGCATCAAATCCGAATCAAATACACCCAGATGTGATTCCAAGGAGCTCACATGAAAGCCCATATGGGAGCTCACTTTTATGGGAGCATAGGGTTTCAGTGAGCACTGCCTTTTGTCAGTTTTACCCAGGATATGGACATTAAAAGCTTATAGGGAGAAAGGACGTCTTTGATTCAGGTGTTATTTTGTTTATTGTTAATACACAGTGGGGTGCACAAGACATTTCGGCAAGATAACTGACAATCAAATGACCCGTATTCTAGGCTGGGTAGGGTCATTGGTAGACGCAGAACTCTGCGGGCAGATGGTACCTCCCGGTTGCGCAGACCAAGGAAGGGTGCCTAATTAAAGTACCCCACTCAAAAATCTGACCCCCAAGGCAGTGTGTGTAGAGTTTTGTTCGGGGAACTTGCCTCTAGCCTCTGAATCAAAAGTCCAAACCGCAAGGCACCAGGAAGTGGGGTTTTCTGTGAAAACACTTCCCGGAGCCAGTGACACACTTGGTCCCCCTGACTCACTGACCCACTTGGCTGCAGTGGGCTGGACTCGTCCGCGGAAGCAGGGAGTAAGCATCACTACCTCACTTCTAACACAGCTGCGCATCGGACAGCAGCATCGGACTCTTTGGTCCTAAAAGTATTTCGACCATTTTGAATTATGTGCCGGTGATAGTGGTCAACTATTGGTCGATCAAAGTGGGCAGTTTTAGGGCCATCCTTCCTTGGGGGAAGGCAGCATAGCTCCTACAAGATATGGCTGCCAACCGATGTCAGAGGCGTTCTTGTTGTCAGTTTCTATCCAGATTGCCTGAGTGAATGTCTGGAGGTGTAGGCACCTCGGAATGATTGTGTTAAGCTAGCACTAAGTCCCTTACCCGTCCAACTTTATTCTTTCCTTTACAGTAAGGCTTTCAAATAAGTCATGGTTGTACGGCAGTGAAGCATCGGTGTTGAACACTGATGTCATCCTGTCGATGATGATGATGATGATGATAATGATGATGATGATGATGATGATGATACATAGCTCCTAACATGAATATGGACATGATGGTCGCCTGACAGAAGCACCTTACTACCTTCATACTCCGATCGCAGAGGACAGTACGAATCTCCCCCCTGACCGATACGTAGCACGTAGTATGGGGTCTCGTTTCTCTTGGTTTGACTGCTCCCCTCTGACCTTCGTGGGATGGTCGCACCTTGCAGAACGAAGCTCCAGACCATTGCTGCACTCAAGCCCGAGCAGCACGTCAAACTTGCAGCCAGGTCACAATGTCACACATGAATTCACCAATGTAACCCATAATTTCAAGTGGACAACTTTATCCAAGTTCTGGTAATTCCGCATCTAGTTAGCTTGGTCTTCCCCCTCCAAAAGCACTGTCACATAACCGCCATGCTGCTATACTGTCTGAACTACCAGCATGAGTAAATAAACACACGCTACTGACCAGCTACATTAGTACGAATAAGGATGACTGGCGGTGCAGACATACAGATGCAACGGAGTTTAACTGAAGAAATTCAATGCCGAATACGAATTTGACCCGATTGCTAGTTCCAACGATTAGTACCCGTGTAACGGTGATTCTACTGATGGGGGAGGCATGTGAGTAGTATTTTTTTCTTGTAAATTCGCTTTGCGTCTCTTGAAAAGGGAAATCTGCTGCGGAATTTGTGAAGTCGCTCTGAAGCATTTGCTTGGATTCGGGCAACAGTCAGTCAATATTCAGGGAAGTTCAGGAGGCCGCGTTCAAGTGAAGATGGATATTCAGTTTTTGTGAATAAGATGCAAATGAGAGTTTTGCTTCCCTGTTCAATAGTCTGTAACTGATCAGTTGGCATTTTCTCATAAGTGACTCCGCAGCGAAGGCCTTCCTTTCACCCGTATGCCAACCTGTCATTTAGTATTGTGTGTACAGTCTCATGGTGCACCACACACTTAAAAAGTAGTAAATCTAGCAAAGATACGTAGGAACAATTTGACTTGCTCACTAGATTTATGCCTAGATATTTTATCTTTATACAGTGCTTACATTGACAGCCGTTGTCGTGAACTTCCATCGTTTGGAGAACCACTATCCTCTACTACCACTACTGCTCATAAACTATGTGTCAATTGCGAGCTGTTCCTGTTAATTTTGTGAAAGTGGTGCACACGTGTGTCAAAGGACTGCAAAGCTTACAGTTTCTATAATCACAAGATCTCCAAAGAAGCTCCACCGGCAAAAGAAAACGAGTGTCTTCCCTATCAGTCGGCTCATGCTATAGTGGCTTAAATAGAGCTCAATACGGGTTCAATACATCTTAAACTTTTGCCTTGGGAAAGAGGTTTCCGTAAACTTTTTAATCAACATTTATACGATACTGACTTGGTAGATTGTAGTGCGGTGGGCGCTACTAATGCACCCGTCTTGCGTATGTGGAATCAACCATAGAACTGCTGATGTGTTGGAGTGCAAAACCAAAGTTTGTCCTAAAGCTTTTCCTTCATTGGCCTCGATTCACTCAACGAAGCCCACAAGGCATTTATCAGGATAGGTGCGGTCGTGTAAGCGTCAACTGTTATGCAATCACTCACGCATCAGTATTTAATTTATCGGAACGTCATCAGGAGAGCGTAGCCTATATTCTCCCAGACTTTTCTCATTTTCAAGACTAGTTTTTTTTGTATTCGAATGGATCACTGTATTTTGGTGTCACTTAAGACAGCCCATGTTAGCTTGTGCCGGTTTTTTACCAAGAGGAAAGGATGTGTCAACCAAGACACGGTCTAGCGGAGCTGCTCATTTTTGTGGGAGAGCAGGATCAGTTATCTCTCAGACTTCACCCGCACTAAACCAATTTGGATGAGATTCAGTCCTGCTTGTGATAGTTTGTTTAGTAGTTTATCTGGTTCATCTCATCATGGAAGTGTGAAAAAGGTATGTCAGACGTTTTAATTACAAAGTAGACTTTCCACACAGGAGTTGATCCTGAGTTGCAGTAATGAAGTTCGAATCTTCAGCCGTAAAATTGCCTGACAATGCCAGAAATCTCGCAGTATTTTCATTAAGGAAAATGCTGCATCGAATATTATGGGATTTTATGGAAAGGCTACATCATTTAACATCAAGCTCATTCCTTTGGTGCTTTACTTTTGGAGATTTACTGATGCAAACTGCCTCCGCCTAAGCAAAACATTAACCTCAACAAACATCCAGAGGGTGGTGGGTTCATATCTCTTCAGGAAATTTTGAGATAAATGCCGCTAATAAATTTCAATGGGTTAAGCCCTAACATGATACTTTTGAGTTTTCATCTCGCACAGCAGAAGTTACTGCAAAATTGGGGCATAATTTTGATCAATTTAGCACAGCTTTCCATAGAAGTGTCCTCGAGACCTAGTCACACTTTAAAAGTGTTTGTAATGCAGTTAAGCCACAGTGGCTTGGAAGACCGCCGTCACTGATTATGTTAAAGAGGAGTGCATCATCGCGGCGTGTGATCTTGTTCCTCATATCCTAGTGCCACTCGAGCAAGTTACTGCGCCAGATCATACGCATGTTTGCCAAGAAGTTTAACACGAAAATAAGATTAACCTACGGTGAAACATTCCAAACGTTTATCTCCGTGATTGGTACTTGTGTTGAAGCATCAATAGTGTGGTCCCCCGATTCGAAGCAACGAAATCGACATAGTTAGCTAACAAGTGGTTAGATTGAGAAATGAAACGCGGACCGAATCTTCGAAAGAAGGTAAGGGAACGCACAAAAGTTCACATACTGAGTTTTGTGGAAAACCCGAATCACTTCAACGTTCGAGATGAGGAAAAAAGTGAAGTAAGTACGTAAGTACGTAATTATGCATGTACGTATGTACATTCATGATGTGACCTTGGAGTAGCTGCAGACCGACTCCATTGAGAACAAGTATCCAAAAACCGGCCATATAATTGATAAAACTTGCGCTTTAAAACACCAACCGTTGTAATTTAGAGCCACATTGCTCCTGTTTTGTTATTTTGCTATCGCAATAAAACCGACCCTTTTCATTGCTGTAGCTGGGTCAGCCAGAACATGGAGTGAAATTATTCTCAGTCTGTCGAGGCCTGAAACCAGGGAGGTAAGCATGTTTACCACTAGTGATGGGACTATTGTCGCGCGTTCTCCAACGCTAAAGAAGACACCTCAAGGACTCTTCACACAAGCATCTTTTTTCCTTTCTGTTGACACATGATCTAGCGCCGTACTGCTTGATGAATTAATTACGCCCGTATACAAGCAAAATAGTATGTATGTAACTACTCCACTGCCACATCCCACGGGCTGCTCCACATGGTGGTGGTGGTGGTGCAGTAGTCGTAACCGATAAACTGTATTTCTCGGAGGAAACTCGATGTTTTGGTTTCATGCAGTAAGATTTACTTGAAGCTAAGAAGTGCCAAAACTAGATTAGCCTATCAATTAAAACAAACTCCATTGGTCAGAACATCATTTCGGTGACCATCACCAAGTAGCATGATTACTGTAAATGTATTCCTTGTGTTGTACCTGAATTTGTAGACTTCGGCTAGCCAGACGGTTTGATACAACCGGCGCTAACCGGATGAATTAGTGGTATGATATGGCCTTACCTTCTTGCCTGAGAACTCAAAATCCATGTCCCATGGTAAGAACGAACGTGAATACTTCCTGGTTCTACACTAATCAAACGAGCATGCTTCACTTATGCATGTTCAGTGCATCAGAATTAGCACTTTCAGTTTAGCTGAATTAACCCATTCTATTACGACGTCACCATCCACTTTGCTAATGGAAGTTGATTGTGTTCGCTTGCTTCCAAAAACATCCCACTGATGAGGTTTTATCTTGTTCCGTTGCATTGAAAGATGGTCATCAAATGGTTATCAATGCATGCGGACATAAAGCACAAAATCCAGGGTAGTTGCAGGACAATCGCGTGAATCAACAACCGAAATAAATCCATCCCTAAGCACTCAAGAGCAAAAGTAAGTAAGTATTGTGTATTCGGAAAATTCTGCACTTGAAACCACCATTCCGATAGTAAAACACCACAAGCCAATTAAGGGAGTTCACAATACAGCCAGCATTGAGGAGCGGCCGGCTTGTAACGGACTTCATTACAAGAAACTAATGACAAGACACGAATCTCGATCACACTAACCTCAGGAGAATAACCAAAAGTTTGACGAGCGGTGGGCTGCTTTGAATAGCTTCTTCATTTAGTGGGTTAAGTTGGTTTTCTCCCTTAGCAGATATTGTGACTAACAGCTCCTTGGTTGAGAGCCTCCGCTCGGTCGATTAGATGAAGACATTCTCAGCTTACCTACCAGGTGAGACCATGGGCCCATTCAAGTAGTCCAGCTCCATAATTAATTCAAAATAACTTATTAGAGGCTAAGTTAAAACAGTTCGCCCCAAATACATTTTCGGCACGCATTTCGTTTTTCATCTGATGATTCCATACTTTTTTGAAGGACAGGAAAGGTGATTTCTGCTCGTAGTTTGCAGACTTATTTATCACCAGCCAGTGTAGGACATTCAGGCAGTGCGCTAATCAGTCCTGGAAATTGTGGATAAAGATTGATTTGTTTGTTTGCCCCAAAAGTTAAATTAAATTTGTTTGAGCTTATGTTATACGACTTGGCTGGAAAAGTATTCCTGGCACTAGTTCAAATTAAATCATGGTGTGAATACTTATCTGAGAAAGATTGCCCCTTTGCCACTAGCAGACCGTCGCACTGAATAAGGCCGAGAACTTTGAACGGAGAAAAAGCGTCAATCATAAAATTATGGATCGATTGAGAAGCCATCGTTTCAGAGCTGTTTGCTAAGCCCAACCGGTGGAAATGTGTTTTTCCGTGTATATAACAGTTTTCGGATGCTGATTTAAGGGTGCCGGTTAATTTTGAATAAGGCGGGTAGCAGTATTCTTCCGTTATACTCATTAAACGAAGCCAACTGAGCTTTATGAAGAGTCCTTCGCATTCAAGTGCCTCCCGAAGCCGTTAAAAATAAGCTAAAAACGAACTCAACTGTCTCAATTGGGTTAAAAACAAATATGACAGGCTTCGTGCAAATAAGCGATTGCACAGAAACGTAAAATCCCAGCTGTCCACAAAGACCAATTTCGTATAGAGCAAAGCATAGAAATATGTAGAGATAAAAGATGTATCTGAAGATGCTGTGTCAAGTCATTCCCACATTCGACTTGGTATTCTATTCGAACTAAGTGATACACAGTACCTTTTACTTCACAACAGTCCAACGTTCCCTTTTAAGTCGATTTGTTTGGGACAAATCCTTCAAGAACTCCAAACTGCAGTCCGCATTTTCCCCTTTCTCCCTAATCCTTCGAGCAGGTTCAAAGATACTACTATCATCCATTGCAGAATCAGACGGAGACAAACTGGATACATTGTCCTCCGTTTTCGAAGTTCTCCAACCAGCACGCTTATGCCTCTTCAGTACGGGTTTGCTGAGGGTAGATGCAAAGTTCCGGTTCTTATCTCCGGATAAATTGATCTCCCTGTAGTCGTTTTCAATCGAAGCAAGAGTTTCTCTGGCTTCTTGAAGTTCCGCTTCTTCTAATCCTTCATTTAGAAACCAGTGAACGAAACAACGTCTACTGAACATCATATCGAATTTCGCACCCACCGTACTCCAAACACTCCGGATAGCAGTCGTGTTGGCCAGCATAGTCACGGAACAGTCTGTAGGAGCCATGTGTGAGTCGTAAGCCATGAAAATTGGCGGTTGTGCTACTAAATTGACCTTCACACCTGTGGGGCACCAGTCAACGAATTCATAATGTGGAGTTGCCTTGACACGAGTAAGCGCACTGTTAACCAGTCGAGGACCTACAAGACCTCGAAATGAAAGCACGCAGGCCATAAACTTTCCTCTATTCAGATCACATTTGACAGTTTGACCGGCTGAACTAAACACATTCTGAACCAGCTGATCAATCGTAGGCTGATGGGTTGAATGTGAGTAGTGTAGAAATGGTGCGTGCCTCAAGATTGGGAAGTGTATCCGAGGAAACGGTACCAGGTTTGTTTCCAATTCCGGAAGGCCAGCAGTAAGACAACCAGGATAACGAATAGGCGATAGTAAGGAACTTGTCAGAAGAGCGATTACTTGGTTAAGTGTGTGGAATGTTGGTTGGCGGTGCATCAGATTTCGACGGCACACCTCACCAATGGCTTCATTGTCCATCATCGTTGAGAGCTTGACCGCATCCACAGCTTGATCCAAGTGTAAAACTGTATTGTATGGCTCCACTATGGTGTTTGCGTGTTGTGGTGACGGATAAATTGGCAATTGTACGATGCTATTTTTCTCATAGTCAGAAGAAAGGCATTGGAAAATATATGCCGTCAGACCTCCACCAGTGCCACCAGAACAACTATGGGTCGCGACAAATCCCTGAAGTAGATCTGTTTGTTCTACAGCTTTGCGTACTCTCTCCATGATCTGAAATTGAAGTGAATATGGCGAGAGAGAAACAAAATCCCACTCGAAATCGACAGTGTAAACAACCTGATAGGAAACATTGAAATACATCGCATTACTCAAGAACCATTCCGTGTAAAGCAGTAGGGTGGATTAAGCGCAACAGAACGATATCTCACCTTGGATCTTGTCACTCACCTTGTCAATCATTTTCTTTCCAATCGTGATGTTTCCTCTTGCAAAATTATTAGAGCAGTCCTCATTGTGCGTGATTAGATCATGTGGATGGTACAAACACCGGTACATCCCGTTGCGCACTTCGTCTGGAATAGAAACCGACATTTACTTGTGGCCAAAAATTGCACCCTCGGGTGAACATAAAAACCACATGTAAAAAACTATTCGCGCAGAGATAAGGGTGATCCAGGAGATCGATGTCCACCAACGTTCATTTTACTGTGTGATCTAAACAGAATTATCATCCCAAGGTTCAGTAGTTTAAGTACTCCATATCAGCAAATGTTCCACTGCTCATCTGGTTTACGTCAGCTTTGGCTGTATTATTTCGGTACACGACCCTTTTATCACATTAAATGTACCAAACTGGTGAACTAGCTCCAGATTACGCATACCCGCTTGCAAAGTATAGGCACATATTCTCTCAATAATCGCTAGTATAATCATCCAGAACGAGGTTACAAATGATGCAAACTTGTGTTTGAATGCAGTTGCTATGGTCGTTGGCTTGTTCGCTGAGCTGGGCAATTTGGTTGCATGCAACAAGCCAACGACCATCTACGCTACCTGAGCTACCGACATTCTCCTCTATAGAAAACAGTTGCTATGCTCTGGTATCCAGCAAAACTGGTGGCTTCCGAGATGTCTCCTTTAGAATAGGATTCAAAGTGAACATATTCCCAAGAGGACTATATGAATGAACAAGTACAGCTGCAGATTCAATCGTCCCCAAAAAGAGATTATTTACTCAGGACAATATTGTATGGACTGGCATACGACTATGTCACATTCGGTTGCTGGAAGCTGGATTCGAACAATCGTGAATCAACGAATAAAACCAGTGGATACTGTGATTTCGATCTGCAGTGGTGTAATTCAACTCTATTGTGATCTAGAACAGAAAAATTTCATCCTATCGTAGCAGCTGCCTTATTTCAGAGGGACAGCTACCTATATCTTGAAAATGTTTTGTAGGAGTAATTACATGTAGGCTGATGGGATAAATATAGGCATACATTTAGTTTGGCCTTGATTAAGTCGCTTTATAGAGAAGTCGGAGTGGTTTCTCATATGATACCGCAATAAAGCTCACCTAGTTGCTCCATGAATACTCTTAATGGCTGTAGAAACACTACATGATGACTAAATTTGAGCCTTTATATTCGAGAAAGGCAGATTTAGGGGAATGGTAGATGGATATCATCCTATCATAAGGTGGATACGCGTCTGACTAATGATATGTTATATGGAAAACAAATCACCAGGAAACCTGAAACATTGCTTACTTATATGTTTACCGAGATTTAGTGGACAGTTGAGACATATCAAATGAAGTGACCATCTAAATTTCATAAACCGGAAAGCTCTGCTTTAAAACCCTACCGGGTAGTGGACCTATTTTCCGAGAATAAATTTGCAAGAAGCCCATCTAAAGTAATTATTTAAATGCACGTCCCATCACTGATTCAAAAGCCATTACATTCAACTGCGTCCACTCTTCTTTGTCAGTTTTCCTTTTTGGAGGATTATACAGTCACACGTGATTTTGTAGCTGCCCATGAGTTTCCCATCCCACTTCCAAGAGATAACTTCAGCAAACTTATTCTTTTGTCCACGCAGAATTTGCAGTCTGTTTTAAAACACCTCGAGAGAGTAGATAAGAACATTACTTTAGACTCAACATTAACTGAAATTTTTCCGGGGATCGCCATAAGACAAAACTAGACACTATTGAAGCGGACGGAATCTACAAGCGCTCCATTGGCAGCAGCTTACTTGTCTCTGAGACTGGACAGTTTACACGAAATTGGACACCCATGGATTAAGCACGTCCTCGCTTTCAATTTTTATGTAAGAAACAGTGAAACAGCAGCCTACCGACTTGATGTCCTGTTCAGTAAGTGTTCAGATAATATACAATTACGGGTAATTCGACGCATTGAATCTGGAATATATCCGCAATCTTCCAGCTCCACAACAGGCAACTAGAAGAACATGCTTTTCGTAACGTTATTTTACATAGATAAGGCGGTGCGTGCTGTCAACTGTCTGAATGGGAAAACTAGTTTCACACGAGCCTATGATGGCTGTCATCCTAACGAGTTGATCAAGTTCCAAGATAGTGAAAGGTAACTAAGACAGACTTTTCTCCGAGAAGGGGTCATAACGTAGAAGAACACTGTCAGCCAGTCGTTTCAGAGTAGTCAGTCGAAAATTCATAGTCAGCTTTTAACCGAATTTGTAAGCACACTCACTGACTTGCGGTGCACTCATGTGGTCCTTTCACAGAAATTAGTGTGTTTGTGACTACCTACGGATTCATCGATGAGTTACTTAATTCGGGCTCAGTAATATAACATAAAATCCTTGTTATTTCTCTTGCGCCTGGCCTCAAACAGACCATTGAAATTAATCACACGTGGGGGCGTTGCTAAATACATTGCTGCGCGAGCTTAGTAATGTTTTGATGACCCGTCTATCCACGTACAATCATTATAGTTGCTTATATATGTTTAAAACGCATTTTGTTATGAAACACTGTGTCCTATTGTTTATATTTTCCGAATAAAAGCATCTTTAAACCGTCATTTTTTACTGTCATTTGACTCACATGGCGTTAATTGCTAGGTAAATCCTCTGTAAAGAAGGAAATGTCACTCCTTTAGAGACTTCATGACACCTAGATTGTCAATCGCGAGCATATCTGCGACTATCATAAGCGAGAGATTCAGTTGATTCCCTCGTGAAAACCAAACTGATTTGCAAACGAGTGTATTTCTCGAAGATCTGCGACTACTTCGAACAGAAACCAAACAATAACACAACGCAGCTATCCCTCGTTCTGCCGCATTACCCTCCAAAGAGGCTTTTTAGCGTTTAAAACGAACAAACGGGAAAGAAGTCCACAAAGACGTCCCCAGAGTTACCTCCTAGTTCGAATAAGTTGCCATTTCAAATATCCACAAAGTAGTTTCTGATTTCCTTTGGTTCTTTTTTCCATCCATAGGCAGTCATTGGAGATTTCCAGAAAACGTATGGCAGAAAAACTTAAGAATACAGCTTGGATGCTTTGTATCGCATACACATAAAGGTCCTTGCATATTCCAAGATTCCAGCATTTTCTATGTTAGTGCAGGATGAACATCTTTGTTCCAAGCAAAGAGTGGCCAATGAATACCTGAAAGACTACAATCTCAGTGCTCTACTTGAGCATTCCTTTAGAATTGGTTACTACATCACAATTGTAATTGGTCGTCGAAATATTAAGCGTTCCGAAATCACTGCAAGAAGAGGCGAATAATGCATTCTGGACCAACAGTAACGAATGGGCTTTGACAAAGGACCCAACAGACGTAAAACTTAGACGATCTAGCCTTCAACCGCCAGGTTGGAGGTCGTCAGTTTGAAACTCCCTAGAATTTCGTGAGCTCTGCTGATGATTCGCAATAAAGATTAAACCGCTACATAGTCATTTCAGGCATTTCAGTATCTCAACTGAAACCGAAACAGTCTGACTACGGCCTAAACAGCTTATTTTTGTGCCAATAGCGACAAAAAAATGGTCTTAAAACTCATATTTCGGGACGTCGGAAATAGTTAGACAAATAGTGAAAATACTTGTTGGAATTGCTGGGTTATTCTGCAGTGGTCTTACGAAATTGTTTGAAGAATCAAACTAGAAGGCACAGTCACTTGCGCAAGCCTTGCAATGTGAATACCAAGAGATTATTAATAAATTTCCGAAAACTATGGAGACAATTAGCCTTTAAGGCACGAACGATTGGCAAGGTGTGAACAAAAACCAAAGTCCAACAATACTTTAGTGTTGGTCCTGCTGATTGTTCATGCTGGTCATTGAATACATGTGAAACTCACCAATGACAGATGGTTCTGAGTCCACAAGTATGGCTCTCGGAACAAACTGGCCACTTGGGGTCGTTGCGAACAACGTCTCATAAGCACCGTTGTCGAAGTCTCGTGCCTGCGAAGCAGCCTGTGTGTTCGTTCGTCCTTCATTGGGAAGGATTTTGTTTAGTTCATCTTTAATTTCCGGAGCTTCCAAGTTAGTCACATTCAAATCTTCGAGATCCAAACGTGGCAATCCCTGAGCTTTTGCGGCATTAATTTTAGCTTGGAGTTGATCGAACGCGCTAGCTATTTGTCGTCCGTCTGGCTGAATCTGATGTTCTAAGCAGTATAGCTCCCAAAGCGCATTCGCAGTTTGGACTCCGGCTTGGCCGACATGAAGATGAATTAACTGGCGCTAAAATAATACCAATCAATGCTAATGATCACTCAAGTATCAGTTTTTAGCAGTAGTTTAAAGTAAATACAAGCTGTATTGGGGCCAGTCAATAAGCTCTTCACTCAGACTCATGAGCAACTACGAGAAGAAACTAAACTGTCTTCACGGTGTGTCCGCAATTAGTGTATCTTTTCTATTTATTCCACATCACTCCCCGGACGGTGCAACACCATTGGGTTACACTGTATTGCATTCAAACTTCATTTTAAACATGACCAGCGACAACGGTGACTCATTTAATGAATCCAGTTCACACTAGCACGTCTTTGGTTCTGTTTGCTTTTGCCATGGAGTAGTGTGCCAAAATGGCTACCGTTGAAGGTATATTATTCACAAAAGCTTAGCGCAGTTTCGGTGGTTTGTTCCACTAATCGTACGTTTTCCTTTCTATTTCTACCCTACCCGTGTAAGGGATCTCTTTTGGCCATCTCGTGCCATTTTCTAATAACTTTATTGAGACGGCAACTTCATGTGGCAACAGCCAAACATGTTTTGCTAGCTGAAATCTGTCATCCTGAAATAAAAATGACCTGTCTGATCCGTTTGAGCATCAATTCTCGTATGCCGTCCTATCGCAGTTTTTATTTTCGATGCATGCTGATTGAAATATTTGCTCATGATGAGTCACTATATAAACAAGAGAAAACTGCAGTCCTTTGTTCACAAAAGCATCTGAGCCAGACGATTCATTTCCCATAGTCATTGTCTACCTTCTCATTTATAGTATTGAGTTATAGGTTCACTAACTCGTTAGTTACAATGTGTGTACTGTGGTTGGTAAGAGCGTTCGAAACGGTACCATGAACCACAAACGCTCTCCTCCGTCTAGCACCAACCCGGATTATTAGCCAGAAAACCCATCCAGCCTATTTGTTTACAAGGTATGTGGTGCTCATTTGGATATATCTGTAAGTGCAAGCCACTTCTTCGTTCACCACTAGTAAACAGGATAGAAGCACTATAGCAAAATCGATTCAGGTCGACTAAGAGCTTGCTAGTATGTGGATTATAGCTTATATGTGTTTATTAATCAAAAAGGGGACATTAAAATTCTAACCACTACGCATCGTGCATGTCGAATGCATATCAACTACAACTGTCGTAACAAATAAACACCCATGATAAATTCAGTGGACAGCTTGCATGATGTTCTGAATTTAATGCCAGTAGAAAATTACTCTCAACACAATGGCTGAAAACCAATGTAGAATGAAATTACTGCAGTTTATATATATATATATATATATATATATATATAT